GAATATGACAGGAGGCTCAGGGCTTCAGCCGCCATATAAACCAGCCTGTATAGTGGATTTCATGGGCTTATCTAAATCTGCCTTGTTCTACAGTTTGCATTGCTTGGCAAGTTGTAGTCTGATCATCTGTGACCTGCAACATATGAATGGTTACTCTTCTGTAGAAGATATAAAACATCACAGCTCCAGCAGTGGGGTGTCTTCAGGATGGTACCCAAGTCACACTCATGTCCAAATTTGGATTTTGCTTGGAAAACCACTGTGCACAGGTCACTTAGATTTGCCATTTGAAAGACACCATCTGCCAACTGAATGTCCCAGTTAGAAAACCTTAGATAATGATAACAAATGCCTACCGTGGGAGAAAAGAGAGGTGAGGCACTGAGGTTCTGGAAGATTCTCTTAAGAGGGTTAGGAAAGGTCCCCAAGTTTGTTTCAGCTTGTGTAACATGTTCGTCCATGAGAGCAACATCACCTCCAACCTTCTTCACAAAGGCCTGCCCATGAATGCACAAAACAGAAGGCAAGTCTTAAAATTAAAATTGTAAAAACAAAACACAAACTCTTCAGAGTAATTAATGAAAAAAGACAACTTGAAAAGGAGTAGAACATAGAATGCTGTGACGTGTGGGACATAGAATGCTGTGACGTGTGGGGCTTCTATTCTTCCAGTGCTAAAGGTTTCAGTGCTTTTCTAATGTGTGCAGTGAAAGGTTTGTCTACAAAGACATTTTTACATTCCATTTTTAGCAATAAAGATGTCTGTATCAGTTTCCTTTTGTTGTTTTGCACTTTCTGCTTTTAAATACGTAGAAACATGATAAAATGCAATTTAAAAAAAAAACATGCATTTGCTAACCTACAAAAACAGCAAACAAATTAAACAAATGCCCATTACCCACTCTGGTACTGTGTTCCTGGATTCTGTCTGCATGGGTCATTTCATTTTGGTGCACTGGTTATGGTGATAAATTGGAAATAGGTGTCAAAGCCCTTGTTGGATAGCACACGAATGCCATGCAATAAAGTCTACACTGAATCCTTTGTAGGATTGTAAGATTGTAGTATAAATGCTCCTAAAATATAGCTCTGATCATTCTTTAACAGACATTCCCGCGCAAACCTACCCTACTTTCCCACTGCAAGAGTTTTGTTTTTACCATCTCTCTATAGGTTGAACTCGATGGACATGTGTCTTTTTTCAACCTGACTACGTAAGAGTTAAGCACTCGTTTATGTCTAGGGGCTGCAGTACAGCAGATTTACTTATCTGGTCCCTCCTCCCCTGGCATTTGGCGCTGTCCTCTTCTTCCCCTCCTCTCCAACAGGTGGAATATCCCTCCGTCTAATGCAGGTCTATAGAACCTGCATTTGAGAACATGATGTCAGAGGTCCTTAGACCACCGGAGCTCAGGGAAGAGGAGCTGTGTGGACTGGCCTAGCATCTCCAAGAGAGCTGGCAAGAGTGAGGGTCAGGTGAGTAATCTACAGAAAACAAAACAATGCAGCTCTTATCATTCCTACTACAAAACACAGCCCGTCCCCTTTTTTACCTCGAGTAAGTCTATCTTCTGGTAAAGTTTTCTCATTTCTGCAGCTTTGGTGTAAATCTGAGGAACTTTCTCATTAACCACTTGAGATGTATCATTTCGGATCTGTAAAAGAAAACAGCACTTTAAATACAAAAAAAACATGGGCCCTCCTTACCATCTTGTCTTGTATTGTGATTGTAATGTCTTCCTTATATTGTAAAGCGCTGCGCAAACTGTTGGCGCTATATAAATCCTGTATTATAATAAACTCTTGCTTTAGCCTGCAGAGGTTTACTTTAACCAGTTGTGGACTTAGGGTGTATGACAAACGCAGGGCCCTCCTTACCATCTTGTCTTGAATTGTATTGTAACTGTAATGTCTTCCTTATATTGTAAAGCGCTGCGCAAACTGTTGGCGCTATATAAATACTAAGTAATAATAATAATAATAATAATAATAATAAACAAAAATCGAAATACTTGTGGCGTACGTTGTATGCCTGCTCACCTGGCCACAATAACTGACTTGTTAGACCTCATTCACATCGACTTACACAGCTGTGCAGCACACACATCTGTTAACACATCTGGGGCCGGGAGGGACAGCTGGTGTGTGTAGCCACCTGATCAACTCAATGACAGGACACGGCTGCACGCCAACCTGAACTTGCACATGCGTACAGGTACAGATGCAAGCCCCTGGACGCAGACACTCTTGAGCACATGCTGTCAGTGAGTTGAACAGGCGGCTGCACGCACCAGTTTCTGCGCACGTACATGAGAATGAGCCCTAACACAGGAGTGGCTGCAGCGGTAGGATAGTAGCAGATACGTGGGAAGAACTGCACATGTGCGGACATCGGATTAAGAAGCCGGGTGATGAATATACACAGTGTCACAGGCCTCAGAGCAAGATCTGGGTAAGCATAGCGTTTCGGGGGAGGATGGTGAGGACCAAGTGGGTAGGGACATGTTGTGGGAAAGTTACCTTACCCTTTCCGATTTAAACTTTTTTTCATTTTATTCATTTTGTTAGTGACGTGTGTAAAAGAAATGTGAAAAAAAAAAAACGCCTTTTATTCATAAATAACTGACATGCTTTGCAATAGAAACATAATTTAAAGGAAAAAAAACAAACAAACTTTGGACAGAAGAAAATGTAACCCTTGTAGTTGGGCTACCCCTGCACTGCAAGGGTTAACCGCTCATCTTCATCAAGGGTCTAAAATAAAAATATACTCACTCAAACCTTGGTATCGCCTGGCTGCTAGACTGGTCCCTGCAGCCTCTCTATCTCTGCTTCAGCAATGAAATGTCCTTCGGGGTCCTCACTGTATTAGACGTGATGACTCATGGGTTCGTAGACCACCAGAGCAGAGGGGGAGAGAGGCTGCAAGGGACTGGTCTAGGACTGAGGATGGGTGAACATATCTTTGTTATGCGAGACCCTAGACAATAACGATCACTTAACCCTTGCACTGTGGGGGTAGCCCCACTGCAAGGGTTACATTTTCTTCTGTCCGGAGTTCTTCTTTAGGCGTCATTAAAATCTGGATAGGTTATAGAATAAAATGTGTGACACTTAGCATTCGGTTTATGTTTTCATCCAGGATTCACACATTATATCATTGTAATCTGTTGGGGGAAAAAAATATTTTAACCTTTTATTGTTGGTCAGACTAGAAAAAAAAACCCACTTTCATTTTGCAAAATTTTTGTCTATAGATTGCAGAGAATAAAATCATTTTTGCAAAACAATATTGTCAGAAGGAAGCCCCTACTGTGTCCCAAAATACTAGATTATGTTATCAATGAATCAATAGGCCCAATAGGGTGAAATGTAAACCTTGCTCTGGTCCCTTTGGGGTAGGTGAGGGAGCTGAAGGGGCTAAAGTGACTATGAAGTTATATATACATAAAAAGTGGTGCAACGTATGATACTTGGGTTCCTTTCAGTGTGAAGATAAAACATAAATACTGGACTTACCATATCTAACATTCCAACAAACTCATCAACTCTCACAAGTAGGTCTTCCAAACTCTTTTCCAGATTCTCAATCTAAACAAAACATGTGTCAAAGGGATTCAATTATAGGGGAAGAAATGATGTGCAGCAATAGGCCTCTGCCAATACTCAAGATTTAAAGAACAATATTTGATTAACCCTTGCAGTAGGGCTACTCCCGCACTGCAAGGGTTAAGTGCTCGTTCACTTATAGGTCAGGGGTGGGCAACTCCGGCCCTCCAGCTGTGCGTTCGCTACAAATCCCAACATGCATCTGCCTCTGGGTGTCATGCCTGTAACTGTCAGTCCTGCAATGCCCCATGGCACTTGTAGTTCCACAACAGCCGGAGGGCTGGAGTTGCCCACCCCTGGTGTAGGTTATACTCGCCTGAAGCTCCAAGCCAGCCAGCTGTCACGGCCCTCCCTCAAGCCGCTCTCCTCCTACGCTGCAGGAATGTTCCTGTGTGTCCTCACACCTATACACTGTGTATAGAACGTGATGATTTACGGAACCTTAGATTGCTATAGAGGAGGGGGAGAGAGAGGCTGGAAGGACCGGTCTAAGAACAAGCCGGCTCCATGGTTCAGGTGAGTATACTTTTATTTTTTTAACCTAGACAAAAACGAGCAGTTAACCCTTGCAGTGCCGGGGTAGCCACACTGCAAGGGTTAAGAGAAGTTTTCCTGGAGTTTTTCTTTAAACAGAGAAAGGTTACTTGATGTCTAGATCCAGGCCAGCAAATAAAAATGACATTATGTGCATCATGTGATGTAGTAGTAGTAGTTAGCCATAATCAACTGGACTGTTGAAGAGGTTTTGTACCTTCTTCAAACCACTTGAGTGTCAAGAAGATACTGCAGCATTTATATCTGCACAGGTAGCAGAGTCATCATAAAGCCCATCTCCAGGCTGAAGAGGTTAAAAAAAAAAAAACTCCCCTTACAGTGGGGTTACCCCCATACTGCAATGATTAACTGCTCATTAATGGTTATGGCGCAAAGCACTTATAATTACTGGATCCCTGCTCCCACAGACTCCAATATTATCACCGGCAGCCTCTTCACCCTCCGCACTGGGTGTTGGAGGCCTGGTAATGTCATCAAGTACGGTGCAAGGCCCATAGCCCATCAACATATGTGTGGATGCTGAAGGACATTCCATGAACTGCAGTGTGAAGGAGAGAGTGCCACCAACTGCTGGGGGAGTGGGGATGAGATGTGTAAAAGTCATCTTTACCATATACCCCTAGATATTAACAAGACATTAATCCTTGCAGTGTGGAGGTACGGCAAGGGGAGTTTTTCCCCCCCTAAAATAGGCTGTAACCCAATCACCATGGGATGTGAAACAGTTGATTGTCCATGAACAGGATGAGAGATATGAAAATTGTGGAACCACCCAGTTCTAGTTATATAATCCCAGGAAGGCTGTATAGGTGGTGATTCCTTGTTTTACATGGCCAATGATGTGAAATGTCAAAATGCTGGGGAGGAGATGGTACAACAGCATTATATGTGGATGACACATGTCTAAGTGATTGGATTAAGGTGCCTGTGTGCTGTGATATCTTCCAGACACTCAGCAGACCCGAAGAAGAGACTTGGAGCACGAAAGGTCTTCATCATTACAGAACAAGTCCAGCTGAAAGCGACTCCACATTTTCACACTCCATCCAGCATCGGAACAATCAGCTCCTGGGCTCCTGATGCTTTTACAGATCGCTCTATAAGAATGTGCTGTAACAGCGGCAGGAAACAGAACGCTTCCACATAACATTCACATTGGAAGCGTAGTGAGGTCATGACAATCCCATTCAGTACACACGCTCAGGCAGAGTGGTCTCCTGATCGCAGTGACTGCTTGTCACTGCGATCAGGAGTGAGCCTTACCATCTCTTGAATTGTATTGTGATTGTAATGTCTTCCTTATATTGTAAAGTGTTGCACAAACTGTTGGCGTTATATAAATCTTGTATAATAATAATAATAATAATGCTTTGTAACATTGGCTGTCAGCACTGTTCTGCTTCTCACTCCTCAGTGTGATGTGAGGGGAGAGAAGTAGATCAGTGATACTAAAGGGGAAGATTTATCAAAACAGGAACAGCTGTGCATGGCAACCAATAAGCAGCCACCTTTCATTTTCAAAGCTTCACAAACTGAAGAGAGAAGCTGATTGGTTGCCCTGGGCAACTCCTTCAGATTTTGATAAATTCCCCCCTAAGTGTCCAAGTTATAAAAACAAAATTAACCCCCTTTTATTGCTGATCACAAAGAAAACTTCTTAAATTTCTCCTAATTGGTTAGATTTTATCCATATATAACTACAGTTCATTTATAAATATTTGATGTCAAAGGAAAGCCCTATTTGCCCTCTAAAAAACAAATCTATAAGTGTGGGTGCACTTAATGTGAAAGAGGTACATTTTGGTTGAACAGACATTAAGCTCAAATTCTGTTTTGTTTACGTTCAGAACTTGGACAATTGCCTCCGTCCTTAAAGGGTTAATAAAGAAAACAAACCAGTAAAACGTGACATGACAGAAATATGGGGCAGTCACCCCTTACAATGCTAGCCACCTGACTGTCTTCCTGACACACTGGCTCCTGTACTTTGGGAATCACTGACCCTGACCAGGTAGGCCAACTATAGTAACCTCCACGATTCCTCAATGATAGGTGAGCTGTCACATGACTGGCTGGAAGCCCCGCCCTTACCTCAGTATTTTGATGATCAGGGAGGAGGTAGCTAGACAGCTGATTGGCCGTTGATTTCAGCGTATAATCTGTAGCGGCAAGTTCATCGTCGTTTAGAAGGCCGACCGAAACCCCGCTACAGGCGCTCTGACTCTGGGAGACATGGCCGCTATCTCCCGGGCTCCAGTGGCCGGCCAGCCCCACTTCCTCCTCCGGCTCCCATTGCCCCGCACCTCCAGCTAACGCCATCACTGCTAATAACCAACCACTGCACAGGACACGTGACCGGGAGGCACGTGCAGCCGACGTGCGCCGAGTAGGCTCAAACTTGATAACAAAGCGTTTTATATATAGTACTAGTAGTGTGCCACAGTAAGATTTACAAAGTGATTACCGGGTGTGTATAGTGAAGCTGCTTTGAAAATGTTCTAAACTTTTATCGAAGATTTCGTTGTACTTGGATAATGCAAGACCTGCTACGGCGATAACAAAGTCTGCAAAGGATTCACAAGGTGAAATAGTACAGTGCAGAGTACCTGTGCAATCTAAAAGCATGAACAGGTTTGATTACAAGGATGATTCTTGAATAATTTGGAAACTGGGATAGGTAAAGTGTACCTGTAATGAAAATAAACATAGCCAGCAATAGGAGTGATCAAAACAACCCCTGATGTACCTTTTATTTCGGTATGTGTAAGTTCAGTAGGTTAACAAAGAAATTGGGACAAAAGCTAGGCAACAATGGAAATCGCAAGGAAAGTCCTAAAATAACAGAGCAATCAGTAGTACAAATACACCAATAAGAGTCACAATGCCAATTGTTTGGTCAATCCAGATAGAGAAAAACACCAACAACCGAGGAAACCAACAGCACAGGTGAGGGTGGATGCATGGAAGAACAAGATGGACAATGCTGGAGGGGGAGGGAACAGGAATGCGACGGATCAACCAGTGCCAGAGCAAGGAGCAGTATCAAAGGTTGAGAGAGTTCCTACAAAAGGAAGGGGGGAGAAACAATCAATCAATCCAAGGTGCCCATATATAGCATTGTATTTGTCCTTTTTATCTTCCTATTGAGACGTAAGTTTGTCAAAAAACATAATGTAAAACATGTTTTTTTTAAAAGCGGAGAAAGAGAGGGGGTCCTCCAGGAACTCACAATCACCATTTTGCAGCAGCGAAGATGTGTTGAAGCAATTTACATTGGGTTGGAGAATATAACAATATAAGGGTCCCTCCGGAGGGGAGACTCCATCACGGCATACATTTTGAGAAAAATCGCAGACCAAAGGTGAGCAACAACTGGACAATCCCACCATATGTGGGCGAACGTGCCCTCCAGCTGGCAACCTCTAAAACAGTTGGGGGAGCAGGATGGAGAAGCTCTGGAGATCCTAAAGAAGATATGATACATACCACTATAGAAGCAGTTTATAGTTGGTTTTAAAAGCTCTAGCACCATTGAGGAACTTCTAGGAGAAGTAGTCCAAATCTGGTCCCATTCTGAAGCAGTCATTTCCCCTTCTAAGTCTGATTCTTATTTAGTAACATAACTGGGCTGGGAGGCCGCCAAGTGTATTTAATAATGAAAATATATGACACCAGGTGCATGAGGATCAGATGTACACAGATGCTCAAAATGAGTCTTCTTTAATAGCTCCAGGTACCTTGCATGCTGCTAATTTGTAAGATAGCCAAAGCGTTCCATAAAGGGGAATTGATAGCGTTCCCAAAAGCTAGAAAATTGTGTGACACTGGTGGAGGCGTTATAAGAGCACAGTCAAACCAGCAACGGAACACTTTAGGGTGCGATAAGACCAGCGAAAAAGATAGATTCCCCAATTGGGTTTCACAGTGTCCCACAGCTGCAAGGAGTGACGTGTCACAGGGGCAGGTACCTCTGGGTGCCAATGAGGATGTAGCCACAGGAGACTGTTTACCTGTGACACCCACGGTAGAACCTCTTTGGTCGTTGCCACATAACAAGCTGGCCAACCTGAACAGCGTAATAATATTTCACCATGTGGGGCAAGCCCAAGCCACTTAGAGGTTGAGATCTAGATAAGACCGTTCGTGAAATCCTTGTGCCAAACAAACTTCAAAATGTGTGCCTGCAAAGCACGTAATTGAAAAAAAATCCCCAGTTATGACAATCTAGAACCAATGACAAATCAAAGGAACGCTGAGCAATTAGGAGAGTTTGAGGCGTCAAGGAGACAACGAGAGCCTTGGACGTGACAGGGTTGACATACAGGCACGAGGCAACGTCAAAGGCTAATAGTATTTTTATGAGATTGGGGTTAGATGCCACTAGGTTAGTCATGCAAAGAACATCATCTGGGAACAAACATAGTTTATGATGATATCCAGCAACTTCCACCCCAGTAATGTCAGGAGACGCTCAGCCCTGTCTCCTACCTCCTAAAGATGGAGACAGAGTCCGACTGGTGTCCCACGTAAAGCACCCGCGCCCTTGGGTTCGAATACAGAGCCTGCACCCGGGTAATTAATTGGTTCCAAACCCCACTTCCAAAGGACAGAAAACAGGCAGTCCCACAACAGGAAATCAAAAGCCTTTGGAATACCAAAGACAAGAACATTAAAGGTAAGTTCCAAGATTTAGCTACATGAAGTAGCGAAATATGCTCAATAATATCGCCTGCCTGCCTATGCAGTACGAAGCTGACCTGTTCACCCCTGACCAGGGAGCCTATGCTAGGGTTAAGCAAGTGGCTAGAATCCTTGCCAAGAGTTTAATATCTTTATTGATAAGATATTTATGGTAAACTATGAACAAAGACATCCGTTCCTGACTCGGGCAGCATACAAATGGAAGCTTCAAGTGAGGAGCGCGTTGAATATTTTCACCATATGCGGCACTAGCATATTTTTTATAGCATCCAGTGTTGAAGCTGTTGAGACCTGTTTTTTTTGCCCACTTTGAGGAAGTTGATAGCATGAGTCACTTCCAAGGGAGATATTTCCACATCCAACAAAGTCCCGTCAAGGGCCTAAAGTTTGGGAATCGATAAAGAGTCAAGAAATATTTGAATCCGAGTATTATCAAGAGGAGCTGGCTTGGAATAAAGTTCTGCCAGATGAGAACAAAAGATCTTCAAGATGGTGACAGGGTTAGAGGTAAGAGTGCCACCACCTTTCTTTGGTCTATAAGGCATATAATCCAGTTCTGGGGTAAGCTGTCTTCATGCAAGAAGGGAGTCGGGGCATGTTGCCTTTAAGGTAGAATGTAACACAGTTGATTCTCCGCTATATGATTCCAGGGCAAACTCAGATTCCAACATTGATACTCTAGCCTTCTTATGCTGTTGGGAAGCCTGCTGGATGAGCACCCCCATACCGTTGCCTTATACACCTCCCAAGGCATCACAGGGGAGTGAACTGAAGCTGAAAGTATTCTTGGATAGTTGCATTGAAAGTGGCAGAAAAAAAGGGGTCATGTATGGTCGCGTAGGGAGAGTTGCACAGGGACCAGGTTACCAAGGGGGTCTAGTGGACCAGGAGGTCAGGGTGATGGTAGTGGTGTTATGGTCTGACTAAGAAGTAGGCAGAATGGATGAAGAGAAGTGTGGAGGAGAAAGGAGGATGAGAAAAGGAACCATGGGGATGAGAATAGAAAGTAAAGTCGGAAGTAGAAGGGTGAAGGGTCTCGTGTGAACTAGGTGAAGCCATAATGAATGGGTCAAACATGAGAGACATGTCCGGCACCCTCAGGTCTGCGTCTAAGATCAGACATGAATAAATACAATGCAAGAGCAAAAATAGCACTCACTCAGCACAAAAAAACAACAACCGTAGCTTAAGTTGAGTAAATTGAAGTGAACCCTGGTCCGGCAAAGTGACAGCACCTGCTCAGGCAATGCAATCGATAATACAAAATCACCTGCACTCCATACAGTGTACAGACCTTGAGTATGGCCCCGAAACGTTGGCAATGCAACCCACAGACACTACGTACCAACCCGGGAGGTACCCCCATGCATATAGTCAAGTAACAAACAAAGCAAAAAAAAATAATAATAATGGTACAATATGTAAAAACTATAAGGTGTATGGTACTTTATATACCATGCCCATACAGACTGAAGTAAACTCCTGGCAGAATGAACTACACAACTGTGGTGGCTTTAGTTACATGTTCCTACAAATATGCTGCATTCAGAGATTTGTGGCAAATTTCCCAGTATATGAATCTTCTTTCACATTCTGTGCTGTCATGTTTTTTTTGCAAGCTGGTCTTCTGTCTTCTAATATGTACACTGAGAGTTGGAGTTATAACAGAGAGTAGATACTGCTCTCTGCAGGGCATATCAGTGATAACACAGAGGGGGGAATTTTTCAAAGCAATTGCGACTGTTTTAGCCTCTTACATAATTTTTTTAATGTGCAAATCTGTTTAGCCGCTCCTTATAACATGTGCGCCTGTTTTGACCAGAGCTTGCACAATTTTCCCAATTGCGCATGTTTTGCGAAAGTTCGCAACTGTTTACAGCTGCACTTGTCCTGCGGCTGTCTGAAACTGTAACATCACCTAACAAAACAATTGCAACGTAAGAAGTCCCCATAACCACTTCTTCAAGAAGAGACAGTTAAAGGAGAACTATGAGGTGAGTGATTTCCACGCAACCTCATAGTTAGAGCCGACCTGTGACAAAGAAGCTGTCACATGTCGGCTCTATTAATGGGGAAGTAAGCAGAAACATGCAGCCGATCCTCTCACTTCCCGATTGTCTCCCTGCAGTGAGCGGTGACTGTCAGTCACGGCTCCCCGCAGGGATTCTCCCCTCCCCGATCCTCCAACGCTGACTGGATAGGCAGAGCCAGCTGTCACTCATGCAGCAGGATGGATTCAGACAGTATTGTCGAGATCCGTCCCGACTGCGGAACTCTTAGTATATCGTGGGCAGTAGCTCCCTATATACTGAGTTTTGGGTCATGGGAAGAGGGAAGTATAGCGCTAGCGGGAAATACCGATAATTTAAAAACAGGCAGCGATGCCTGTTAACATACAAGTGATCCGCCGGCTATAGAGCCGGCAGATCGCTTGTATGAGCTGCCGCCCGGTGTCCCTCCCTCCGCGGTCCCCCCTCCCGTTGTCACGCTGATCCCAGGCTCTGCTGTACCCGGTGCGAGCCCGGGACCAGCATAGTGCCTCTGTGACGGGATCAGAGGGAGGTCGGTACACGATCTCCCTCCGGTCGCCTCTCCGCTGTCAGAATGCGGAAATGATGTATATTACATCACTTCCGCATTCCTGTGTCACTCTC